CCTAAAGAAGGACCGCGAAACCTGGTGGTCTCATCGTGCATCTGAGATGGAAACAGCCGCTGCCATTGGTAATCATCGTAAGTTATACCGTCTGATACGGGCAACAGGCAGCAGGAGACCTGGTGTTAGCGAGAACATACGCGACGAGAGTGGGCAGATGATCCACAGCCTGTCAAAACGCTTGGAGCGTTGGACTGAACACTTTGCTATGCAATTTAACCAGCCTGAGTTATCACTTTCTTCGGGCATTGAACGCCCTTCTCCTTGGGCCGTCTCCTTGGATCCGCCCTCACGCGCAGAAGTCGAACGTGAGATCAGGCTGTTGAAATTGCATAAGGCCGCAGGAGCAGATACTATTCCTCCAGCCCTCTTCAAGTTCGGTGGACCTGCTCTAATAGGTGATCTACACGAGTTGCTAGTAAAACTTTGGGAGCAGGAGACAGTCCCGACAGACTGGAACCGCTCCGTCATTGTCCCAATTTTCAAGGGAGGCTCCCGTTTGGTATGTGGCAATTATAGAGGGATCAGTCTGATTTCGATTGCCTCTAAATTGCTTGCCTCTCTCATTCTCCACAGACTGACTGGCACTCGTGAAAGCCAAATTCGTGAAGAGCAAGCCGGATTTCGTCGAGGTCGGGGCTGCATCGACCACATCTTCACATTGCGTCAAGTGTTGGAGCACCGCCATGTTTATTGGCGACCCACCGTTGTCGTGTTTCTTGACATAAAAGGTGCCTTCGACTCAGTCGATCGATGTGCCCTTTGGGACTGTCTGTTGAGGAAAGTTGTGCCTGATAAATATGTAAACATTATCAAAGCGCTGTACGCACATAGTTCGGGCAGGGTGAGGGTTTATGGCAAACTCTCGCCACCCTTCAGTATCACCAGCGGTGTGAGACAAGGATGCCCGCTGTCACCTTTCCTCTTCAACTTCGCTATTGATGAAGTCATGGAAACAGCGTTCGCTGGACACGACCTAGAAGGTGTGGAGCTACTCCCTGGTGAGCGACTTCTTGACTTGGAGTATGCGGACGATATTGCCCTAATCTGTGACAGCTCCCAAGCATGCCAAGCAGCACTGGACCGATTAGCACTGGCTGTCAGTCGTTTTGGGCTATGCTTTGCTCCATCAAAATGCAAAGTACTTCTCCAAGATTGGCAGGGACGCACCCCTGCGCTAACGCTTGGTGGTGATCTGCTAGAAGTCGTTCAGGAATTCAAGTATCTGGGCAGCTATATTAGCACCCGTGGGATTGAAGATGAGGTTACGAACCGTATAGCAAAAGCTCGAGGTGCTTTTGCCAATCTCCGCCATCTGTGGCGCAGACGCGACATTACTCTCGCCCTGAAGGGCAGAGTTTACAACGCAGCCGTCCGTTCAACTCTCCTATATGGCTGTGAAACCTGGCCCATCAGGTCGACAGACATGAAGAGACTCGTCACGTTCGATCATCGCTGCCTTCGCAGCTTAGCTCATGTCTGGTGGGAACACCGCGTGAGCAATGAGCGTGTTCGACGTCGTGTATTTGGTGCAGGAAGAGCGAGTGAACCGCTCAGCACGATTATATCACGCACCAGGCTCCGATGGCTGGGCCATGTCTTGCGCATGCCAGCACACCGACTCCCACGACGTGCATTGTTTGCGCTTTGTGGGTGCGGTTGGAAGAGGAGGAGGGGAGGCTAAGTGATGACTTGGTCGCGAGAAATGAATACCCTCACTTCGAAGTTGGCGTCGGTTGGTGCATCCCGACTGCCTGGCTGGGGTCCTAAGGACGGTGAACACGTTTGGCTGGACACACTTGCTGATATGGCTAGGAGCCGGTCCCAATGGCGTTTGTGTTGTGAGTTCCTTTGTCCATCCCCCTCCTGTTTAGCATCCCCTCCAATCACGATCTCAATCGTTAGGCATAATATGACTTTCTTTTACGGCAGCCAGCTGTTAGCTCTCCGGAACGATGTCCATCCGTTACTGGGGACTCAGCGGGCGTGCCACTGTTTGTTTTTTTTCTTTCTTTTCTTGCCTTTTGTATTGCGGCACAATAGCTGAGGTGTTTTCCACCTCCAGCTAGCGTGTAATGATGATGATGATGATGATGGGGCGCCGTACTAAAACATGCATGACCTTAAGGGATTCAGCCTTGCGCTTATAATGCTTATCCAATAACCTGACCTGGGATGCTTACACAACAACGAAGCTACTGCGTCAATTTGATCCGCGGAGACAAATTCCAGCACCAACAGAACTTAGCAACGAAATTTAGTAAAATGCCAAGTTGCTGTATAGACACGTTAACAAGCTCCCTAGATTGTAGCGCAGGATCTCAGTATTACGTGCAACAGCTGGTCTGGCGCAAACTTCACAAGATGCGGCCAACGTGCTTCGCAAATACTTCATCCAATTTCCAGAGTGAATTGTCACTTAACCCGCTTTTGACACAGCTTCCATCTCCACTAGGCTTTAACCACATTCTGTGCACGACAGCCAATGTGATGAAAAGGCTATTGTCATTACAGGTGCGCAGCTCAACTGTCGTGGACGGCATCAAACCGAAGGCATTGAAGACAGCGGCCATGAAATTTAGCGAATCATTAGCTCGGTTCTTTCAACGTTGTCTCGACAACATGCAGGTTCCCGCACTATGGAAACATGGGCTAGTCACTCCTATTTACAATAGGCGTAATCATGTGGAGCCCCCGAATTAAGGTTCAACTAACTCTTCCTAGTGGTATCCAAAGTACTATAAGAGTTTTTCGATGTTTCATCCCAGTAGTTCACAAGCTACATAGCACAGCCCGTCCGGAAAAGCACCAGACGCTTTTCGCCCTATTGGGGCTCGTCAGTGGTGCGCATTCCCTCGGTTCTCTACGGAGGATCGAACCAATGGCCGCTAAAGACAGATGCCAAATAGCCAGCAGCTTAAGCCCTGAGTCATGGGGGAAGTTGGCTGAGCTAGATACTTTGCAGACTGACTGGAATATAGCACCACCTATCTTCCACTGTCGCTGACAGTGATTAGCGTGCGAGGTGATGACTCCCTCTCACTAGACGCTATACCCACAGCATTTTGAAACTAGGCGGGGCGATTTATTGTATATTACTCGTAAGTAACAGGAGGTTATTCGCAATTTTTTGAGGTTATTCGCAGAGGCTCTCATGGGATACCTTGAGAGCAACTACATCCTAATGTCACAGCAGCAAGAATTCCGCCGAAATCGGTCTCGCACTACAAGCTTGCTTCTAGCCCGAGCAAGCTGAACGGAATCAGCCGACACCAAAGTGAGGGTCGACGTCGTCTACGTGGACTTCTCTAAAGCGTTAGATATTTCGAACCGCCGCATTCTCCTTCACAAGATGCGAAGCTGCGGAATCGGTGACGCTTTGCTGGGTTGCATAAGCAACTTCCTCATTCAATGTTAGCTGAATATGAGAGTCCGTATCTCCCTTGCTAACCCAACTGACGTCCAGTGTGGCGTGCCTCAGGGATTGGTATTGAAGCCACGTTTATTCCTCCTATCCATTAACGATCTTGCCAGTGTACTGTAGTTGAATTCCTTACTATTTGCAGATGTTCAAATCTGACATGACATTCGGACAGCGGATGAGCACATGGCATTGCGGAGCGTTCTCATCGAGGCTTATACTTGGTCATCCGATAACCTGCTCCAGTCCAACTTAGGGAAGTAGAAAGTCGTGAGCATGCGCCATCGGCTTACCTATGAATAACGAGTTAGGGACCAGCAGTTGCAACGTACTTCACAGGAAAGCGCCTTTAGGGTAATCGTGCAGGAAGATCTTAACTGCTCAATACAGGCTGAAAAGGCATCAACAAGAGCCAGTCAACATCTTAGATCCTTACGGAGGGCTTTCGACAAGTTTGAACCATCAAGCTTTCTGCAAATGTTGAACGCTTACGTGTGGTCCCACCTGGAATTTGAGATTCAGGCTTGACGTCCTGGCGCAAGCGTGACGTCGAAGCACTTGAAACTCCATAGCGTAGAGCAATCAAACTCGTTAGAAGATTGTTTCATCTCCCCTACCAGCGCAGAATGCAGTCCCTGAGACTGTACAATTGTGAGTATCGACGTCAGCGAGACCTCATCATTGTTTACTTAATACTAATGAACGCAATTCACCCATGTCGCATTCTGTTGCAGCTGAACCATGAGAGAACTTCAGCTCAAATGGGCTACGCAGTAAAGTCGACATGATAGTCGACGAAACGTTTTCTCCTTCAGTGTGGCCCGTGTCTGGAGTGACCTTTCGACTCAACTCATCCTTGCCCCTACATTAACGCTTTTCAAAAAACGCTGTGCTGACAAGCTTTCCAACATGCATTGCCTGATGTAGTTCATTTCACTCGGAGGACGAAATAACGCAAACCAAACCAGGTTCTTAACGGCCCTTTCCCAAACATGGCGAGAATGATACACGTACACGTTTACTTCTGGGTAGCATAGATGTATCTAAACTGGATAACGGATAATGAAGCAACACACGATTGAGCGTTGGTATTCCCCTTTTTTCTCTCTCGGAGTTACTGAACTATAACTGCTCTCTATACTATTTTGTGTGGGCAGCTCCCATTCCCGTTTCAATCAATCGTTATGCAGTTGTGCATTTAATTCGCTAGACGCCTAAAATGACGATTTACTTAGTCCTTAACCCTTTTAATTTTAATTTTCCCTCCAACCATCCAACGGAACTTCTCAAGCACATGCATTTTATACGTGATAAATCACTGCTCATTGTTCAGTATTAAAAAGATTGCTTTTTGTATGAGGCGTTTAGTAGTAACTAACACGTCAAAGTGCGTTCGCTCTGCCTTGGATCTCAAGCTCTTAACACAAGGCACTTCTAAGTAGCAAAATTTGTCATGAGAAAAGCACCGCTCTGCCCACTTGCTTGTGCTTGATCCAGCTGCCTTAATTTCCAAGGCTACCTAGAGCTTGTGAGTTAAAAGAAAAATGAAGTCTAATTATGTTAACTGCCTCTTGCACAGATGGGGTTTTTTGACGCAGTGCAAGTGAAGGTTTTCCTGCAAGAAAACGGCATCTATCTGGTCGCCTATCCTGAAGGACGTCCGACCGGCGACGCTTTCGTCCTGTTTAACGATGACCTGACTGCCACGAAGGCACTCAAGCGTCACAAGGACTATCTCGGTGACCGCTACGTTGAACTGTTCAAGGCTTCTCCGTCTGAAATGGTTCAAGTAAGTTTAGTGTATTGAGCATCACGCTGATGTTGCCACGATCTGGTACCAAGTACGCTTAGTTTTTCCAGGAAATATAAATATCGATGCACCGAACCATGAAACAATACTCGCTATATGAGAATTGCTTTATTTTAAATAAAGCGCTGCAATATGTCCTACATTTTGTTGTAAATGTTCTTGGTGAGCTAAATGAAGTTATGCATAGGGCCTCATTATAAGTACACCTTAAATAAAGGTGCGAAACACCACTTCTATTGTGCCGCAACACAAGTATATAGGATACAAGATTAAAGCAATATACTACACATTACAGAATGCAAAAGGAAAGCCCAAAACACGTCATCATACTGTGCATTTAGTGTGAATTCGTGGTTGGAGGAAGAAGTTAAGAGTGAGGAGGACAGTAAAAGAAACTAACAGCAGAAACGCCATTGAGGTCGGCGGAACACCATGTCAACAAATGTGTCTAACCGCACCTGTTCACCGTCCTTCGAATTCCAATCCGGTAGACAGGAGACACCAACTGAGGCCACTTTCGAAATAAGGGCCTTCATTCCTTTTGACTAAATCACTGCTTGGCCACCTCTCCTCTTCTTCCGTCCACACCCTTGGCGCGAAAACGATGAACCTCCCGTAAGTCTGTGTGCTGGCGTGCGCAACTTGTGGCATAACCATCGGAAGCTGGTGAGTATAACGGTGCTAAGCGGTTTACCATCACCTTAACTCAAATTCAAAACGCTCATTGCTCACTCGATGTTCTCTCCAGACATGAGCCAAAAGATGAAGACATGAATGGTTGGAGGTAACTAGCACATTTAATTTTGTCGTTCTAAGTTTTTAGCATATGCAACCGTACAAGTGGGTTGAACGCATGGCTACAATGGAACCTAGATCTTCAGTGCAAGTAGGATGTGCCGCTGCCTCCACAAATGGCGTAAATAGTCTAAAGAACCTCCAGACTTTATTATATATTTCGTAGTCTCATATTCGATCCACCGCATCAACACGCGGGGCCGCATTTTGCTGGATTACAAAATACAAAAATAAAGCAAAATTTTTTATTTAAAGAGTTAGTTCTCTTTAGAAATTTGAAAACTGTGGTAAGAAGACGAAATCTTGTAAATGCATGTATATCGGATTTTCTCCTCAGTACCATTAAAAATAACTGGTAAACGACTATATACTTAACTAAGGGTGTGACCAAATACGCATGAGATGCAAATTGAAGGAAAGAAATTCCGCCCCTATGTCCACGGCAGTATTAAGCTAACAGGGCCCGCTTCATCCGGATTGTTGCGACGGCCTCGGCAAAACTGAGGAAGCGGGGATTAGCGTGACATAACAAAAAGTGTGAACGCTGCCCCAAAATCTATCCGGTGACGCGTGATCAGTAGGTGTTGAGCTACTGAGAAAGCTGGGACTGGGATGCTAATCAATGTCACGTTGAACCCACCTTGGTACATGTTCCTTTCTTCGGAAAGTCACAGACCGATTAGTTCTGCTTATGTAACTGGCTCCGCAGTTGCACACAAAGTGATATATGCAGTGTGAGTTAGCCTCGATCGGTTGAGCTTCCTTCGTTGGAGGCACCGAGAAGTTACGTGTTCGATTAACGACCACAAATTGAGCAGCACTGTAACGTCTCCACGTAGCAGAGATTAAACGTTTCATGGTTTTCAAGACAGTTAGGTCACCCTTGAAAAGCAAGTTGCTATAGATCTTTTTCTTAGCAGACCTATGCACCAAGACACGCTGTTGGCGGTGTTTCTCTGTACATCTGCGCGTATAACTATTCGCGATGAGTGTTGATTTGATTAACTCAAGCTCATCGACCAGGAAATCTTCCAAACAAATTCGTCTAGCCCGACAAAATAATCTTTTCACAAAGGTCAGCTTCTAGCGCACTAGTGTGAACCTGGTGAAGTGTAGATATTAGCTGGACCATGCTGCTTTTGTGTAAAGAGACCTCTTAATGAGTCCGTCATCCCTGCGACTGATAAGGATGTCCAAGAATGGCGTACAACTCTTCTGTTCCACTACGCAGGTGACCAGCATGTTCGCATGCGCCTAGTTGACTTGTTGCACCAACTGCACAATTTGCTGTTCCGACGAACATAGGATTATGTTATCCACATAACTCTTACGGTATGTTAATTGGGCTATTTCTGTCGACATGCCTCTTTCTATCATCAGCATGAAGAAATCGAAGAGTACAGTGCCTAGTGGACTACCCATTGCCACCCCATCGATTTGATGGTGAGGTGTGTTCTGGAAGTGGAAACCAGCATTTGCTGTATACAGAAGCAAGGATTCCCTTAGAAACTCAACTGGAATTGGTAACGAATAACTAGATTGCTCAGCTAGTTCACATATGTAATCTGTCGTTTGCTGTAGCGGGACGTGGATATATAGGGATTTCAAAGTCCAGTAACACATACCCTTATCAGACAAGTTGTTATCATCTAAGTCATCGATAGGTTGAAAGGAATCTTTAAGACTCTATGGACTGGACAGTTTTCGCAGCGGCGAGAGAACTTTCATCCTCCAGCGATCCAATTTATGTTGCGTCACATTTTATGTTGATAGAATCAGCCTAAGTAGCACTCCACTCTTGTGCGTCTTGGGTGACCCATACCGCTGCGCAGTAATGCTGCCACTTAGCTTTAAACACTTGTAGGTGTTAGTAGCAATCAAGAGATGAAGGAGAAGCGTTGCAAGACGGGCAACTATGCGGGTTTTAACGTCAGCTACTTTCCCCATCTTCTTTAGTCATTCAAATTTGCGCGTGTCATTGTGTATGATACCAATTTTCTGCGCGTACTCGGCCTTGTTCATGACCACCACTTCAATGTCCTTATCCGGTTTCATCACAATTACGTTCTTAGTACGCAGTTCACGCAGCGCCTGAAGGTGTCGGTATGTAAGTGCGTATTTTTCAGTCACTGGCACAGTCTTAAGTTCGTGGGTAATGTCGGTCAATTTGTTTTTAAACTAAACAACACTCTCAGGACTGGATGGTTGAAGCTCCAAAAATTTATCAAAAAATTTTCAACTTGTATTTCGATAGACAATACGTTCAGTCTCATAGGAGGAACTTTATCACCAAGCCCATATACAGACGCTACTAACAGCAACGCGTCGTTGTAGGTCTGACAAATTCATCACGGACTTACTAGGATCACGAGCAATTGGCTCCCCATCATGGCTTTACGTAAGCAGATTCTCCAACCGAGTATTTCAATTTCGTCTTGTAAGCTCGGGAGTGAATTTACAAAAGTTAGCGAACACAATCCAACAACACAAAGATAGATTCTCTATAACATGCAGTAGGCGTGAGTGCGTTTTCAGTAAGCTAGTGTTTGGATGCCACTGATGCCACGCCTCTGAGGTAGCCGCAGAGGTTTTGAGTTTATTTCTACCCAACAATGTGAGAAACGAGCGAGAGTACCTGCGCAAGAGAGAAAGGATATTTCCATACGTGCGGACGCAGTTTTGTACCGCAGGCAGACTAAACGATGAAGCAAAAGTTAGTTACATCAACACGCATCGCGAATAGTTATACGCGCAGATGTACAGAGAAACACAGCCAACAGCGTGTCTTGGTGCATAGGTCTGCTAAGAAAAAGATCTATAGCAACTTGCTTTTCAAGGGTGACCTAACTGTCTTGAAAACCATGAAACGTTTAATCTCTGCTACGTGGAGACGTTACAGTGCTGCTCAATTTGTGGTCGTTAATCGAACACGTAACTTCTCGGTGCCTCCAACGAAGGAAGCTCAACCGATCGAGGCTAACTCACACTGCATATATCACTTTGTGTGCAACTGCGGAGCCAGTTACATAAGCAGAACTAATCGATCTGTGACTTTCCGAAGAAAGGAACATGTACCAAGGTGGGTTCAACGTGACATTGATTAGCATCCCAGTCCAAGCTTTCTCAGTAGCTCAACACCTACTGATCACGCGTCACCGGATAGATTTTGGGGCAGCGTTCACACTTTTTGTTATGTCACGCTAATCCCCGCTTCCTCAGTTTTGCCGAGGCCGTCGCAACAATCCGGATGAAGCGGGCCCTGTTAGCTTAATACTGCCGTGGACATAGGGGCGGAATTTCTTTCCTTCAATTTGCATCTCATGCGTATTTGGTCACACCCTTAGTTAAGTATATAGTCGTTTACCAGTTATTTTTAATGGTACTGAGGAGAAAATCCGATATACATGCATTTACAAGATTTCGTCTTTTTACCACGCTTTTCAGATTTCTTTCATCGTTGAGCGTCATATCATTTGTAGTGGAAAGGATAGCTTTGAATTTTTCGTGCTTTTTGTGCACAAATTCCCTATGACCATCTCCCTATGGCTGTCTCATTATTCCATCTTAAAACCCACTCTAGTTGTTTCATCTACCTGAGGAAAACTGACTGATAGCAGCTATTCACTACATTTTTGTAGGCTAAATTGCTACTTCAGAAACTGAATGAAGCCACTATTACCAGAAGCTAGTCGGAGCGTCAATATGGTTAGTTAGTTTGTTAAGTGCTGTTCAAGCTTGGCTCTTATAGTGTCAGTTTGCTACTGATTATTAACAGTAATCATCGGCCAATGAAAACTTCGGCAAAGAGAATTAGTAGCAGGGATCCGAAAATGTAATTGCACAAATGTAGTTTTATAGGGTGCTCATTCCGGTGGTCACTCTCTCCACTCAGGTGTTGAACGAATGGAGCTCTCTGCCGGAGCCAGTGATGAAAGTTTTAAAAGGCTATAGTACCTCCATTTGCTGCGTATGTTAGGATCGTCTTATTGTCGCTGCAGCTGTAACTGTCCATTGTGAATGCTGCTTCTCAACTTCACGTATCGTCTTTGTTCTGACCGGGATGCGATGAAGCCGACAAGCATTCTCCCTTCTTCTTTCTACAATTCAGTAGGGTAGGCGCAGATGGCACGTTGATTCTGTTCCATGTAACTAAGACCAGCCTGCTTGTTTTGCATGGTTTTGCC